AATCACAATTAATTGATTCAAGCAGAGGAAGAAATCCGGCAAATGGAGAGGTAAATTGAAGAAAAATAGAAAAATATGAGGGAAAGTCTCTCTCTCTCTAAAATGAGAGAAAATATTCCATACCTTTTTTGAATAATTACCCTAAATTCTCGTTGGAGGGAGGGTACTTAATCGAGGGAGGGTAATTTCAATCCAATATTCTTTTCAAAATTTCTTCAATTTTTGTAGACATATTTAAATATTGTAATTGACCCAATTACTCAAAAACATGCCAATATGACAGTCAAAACCCCCGAACAATTAATTCGTTTCCAACAAATTGAATTACCAATTCAAATGCGCCCTTTCCCTTTGTTGAGACAACAAAATGTTCATCAAAACATTCAATCATTCGGCCAGTTTTTAACTCGACAGGAAGTGGAAAGTAGAGCTGAATGTTCTGTTGATGGACAAACTGTTGAGACTTTTGGTTAGATTTCCAAAAAAAACTTTCAAAAAAAAAATAATTTTTTTAGATGAAAGAGAATATCGTTCACCTCTTTCAACAAATTGTTATTCAGTTTTGGCAAAAGATTGTGGGGCTATGGGGGGAGTTCCTCGATTTGTTGTTTTAATGAAAGCTATTGAAAGAGGAAATAAATATAGTCAAAAGAAATTAAAATTACTTTCCCCTCAAATGTCTGTTGAATGTCAAAGAGAAACACAAAATAATAATCACAATTCCCCAATTAAATGTAAAATTAATGGAAAAGAAGAAGAAAATAATCAACAACAACAACAATTAATTCAATACAATAATAACCAAAAGAATGATTTAATAATTAATTGGGATAAATTGGCTGTTCGTTTTAATGGATACAAAGTTTGGATTAAAATATCTAGTGATTATAAAAATACTCAATGTGGACTTTGTGGACATTATGATGATGCTAGTAATGATGAAAATGAATTGTTAATGGCTAATAATGAAATTGGTAATGAAGGGGAGTGGGAAGGGAAGGGAAGGGAAGGGAAGGGAAGGGAAGGGAAGGGAAGGGAAGGGAAGGGAAGGGAAGGGAAGGGAAGGGAAGGGAAGGGAAGGGGAAGAGGGAAGGGGATGGAAATGGGACAGAGAGGGAATGAGGAAGGGAAGAGGAAGGGGAAAGGGAAGAAGAAGAGGAAGGGGGAAGGGAGGAGAAGAGGAAGAAGAGGGGGGAAGGGAAGTAAAGGGAGGGAGAAGGGGAGGGAAAGATTTTAACAAAAAATTACTTCTTTTTTAGCTCCATCTCTGACACAATTCCATCGTTCTTATTCACTTTCAAATAGCTATGACAATGATGATAAATTGTGTAATGCACAAGAACTTGATAAATTTTATGAAGAAAATTCAAATAAATTTGGATATTTAAATGAAATGGAGGAAAATAAAGAAGAAGAAAGGGAGGAGGAGGAGGAGGAGGAAAGAAAAGAAGAAAATAATAAATTAAATCAAAATTGGGATGAGGAAGGATTTAATGGAAATTTTGATGAAGAAAATAGTAAATATTTTTATAATAATGAAGAATGGTATGGAGAAAATGAAGAAGAAGAAGAGGGGAAAGAAGGAAATAATAATCAACAGAAAAACCAATTGGCAACAACAAAATCTGGAAATAAAAATTTAAAAAGAAGGAGAGGATTATGTAAATATTTAAATTTAAATTTAAATATTTTATTTATTTATTTTAGTACCAATTTTGAGAACAAAAATAATGGAAATGGAAAATGAAATTTGTTTTTCAAAACAACCAATTAAACAATGCCCAATGGGTACTTATCCAACTGGTTGGGAATTTGAAGAAGAAGAAGGAGAAAACAATTCTAAACATTTTACAACAAAAAATATTCCATTTATTTGTATGCCTCGTTCTGATTCTGAAGCTCGGAATTTATTAAATCAATACAGACAATTAATTGGAAATAATCAACAACAATTGGAATTAAATAATTATAAACAACACAGTATTGTTGAAAAAGTTTTGGAACCAAAAGAATGTCGTCGACTTTAACTTCTCTCTCTCCCTCCCAATGATGAAAAAAAAAGAAATTTTGTGATTCTCCCCTAAATAATTGTAGTTAATTAATTTGTAGTTTTTTTTTAAATTTGGGTTGAAGGATCGTGTAAAATAAATAAATATTTTTAAATTTATTTTTTTGTTTAATTTTTAAAATTTAGAATAAATATGTAGTTAGAAACTAATCGGATTTTTAAATTTATTTTTAGAATTTTTTACAAAAATACTCTCCTTTTCCTCATTTACTAAAAAACTTTTAAAAAGTCTTTTATCTTTAAATTAATTTTCTTTCAATTTTTTATTTCCCTTAAATTTTGTTTGGTTAACAAAGAGTTTTTACCTTTTAAATTACCTAAATTTAATTATTATATGTATACATAAATTTACAGGCCAAGATAAGTTTGCAAGAGTATTTGTATAAAAATCCAGTCTTCTCTATTAATCTTGTTCAAAAAAAAAACTTGACAAGTTAATTATTTTAAATTTTGTAAAATTTTAAAATAAATTTAATATATGTATGTATTTTTGTTAAAATATATTTACTTAATTCTTCCATAAAATATATTTTTTATTTAAAATTCCCATTTATTCATGAGTCATTTATTTTATTTTTTCCATAAATATTTACACGTTTTTGCCAACAACAAAAACAAAATTATTGAATGGTTTTAAAAAATTAATTGAAATAGAGAGAGTAGGGAAAGAGTTTGGAAATATTTTTTGTTTGTTTAGAAAAAAATTTTTAAATAAAATTTATTTAAAATAAAGCCATTTATGAAAACCATTTTTAATTTCCTCTCTCTCTTTCACATTTTATGGATTTTATTGAAAATTGAGTAAAAAATGAATTAATTAGAATTTTTTAATTAATTCATTCACACCCAAATATCCTCTAAACATCACAGAAATTGCTCCTTCAGCAAATCTTGTATTCTACACAAACTTTATTTATTCACTTAAAACATTAAATAAATACTAACAAATTCTCCCTCTAATTTTAAATAATTTGTTTTTAAGTTATTTCTCCAACAAAAAATTTAAAATTCATATTTTCTATATTTTATTATAATAACTTTTCAAGAAATTAATTAAAAATATTTTTTTAATAATTTTAAAAATTTAAATTAAAAATCAAGACTTTTATTGACTTTTTAATGAAATAGTCTAATTATTGACTTTTTATTTTACATCAATTTATTCAATCATTTAATGCCACAAAAACATTTTCCCTTTCACTCTAACCGTCTAAATTTCAAAAATAATAATTTTAAAATTATTAAGAAATTTAAAAATAAATTATTATTTAAAAATTAGGTTGTAAAAAATTAATTTTTTTTAACAAAAATGTCATCTTCAAAAAGTAATTTTGATGAAATTAATTTAAATGAGAATATAACAGAACAACCCAAAACAGACAAAACAATTAACACTTCTTCTGAACCTGTAATTGAACAACAAAATACACCAACGATTCCAAAGTATTTATTTCCCTATTTATTTACAAAAAAATAATGTTTTATTCCTCTTTGTTTCTTGTTAAAAGAATAAATTATTATTCTAAACGAGGTCTTAAGTGATAAAAACTATCTTAATTATATTTTTTACATTCTAATTTTTAATTTTTAAACTCAGGCAATTTAAAGTAATTCAAAGAATCTAACAAGTTCAACACCACCATTACCAGCAGCATTAACTAATCCTCAATCCCCTGCATTTTATTCGCTTGTTTCTGGTATTGAAATTGAGGAAAGTAGTGGAGACGATACTTTTGTTGAAGCAAGAAGTGAATTATGGTAAAAGAAGAAAATAAGGAAATGGCAGAAACTCAACAACAATATCAACAACAACAACCACCTAAACCTCCTCGTCAGGCTAATATTGGTTAATAATTTAAAAATATATATATCATATTTATTAAAAAATATTAGTAAATGGAACTACCTCGTTGGAAACTAATATTGAGGAAAAACAAGAGAAAGTCGTTCAACAGTCTAACAAACCAAATGAACTTCCCATGCTTCCAATCGCTCCTAACACTGGAATTGAAGGTCACTAAAGATTATTTTTTAAAATTTTCATTTCACACTCAAAGACAATTTAAATTAATTCAAAGAATTCCAAGAATCTCTATTTAATCCTTTATTTGTTTTTAAAAATTCACAGTTCCTCCTAGTCCATTACCATCCGAGCAACAACCCAAACAACACTCACCACCTCCAAATTACACATCTGTTTACCCACCATTATCACAACCTACGGGACAATTACCAACTTCATGCTTTGCTGGAACACAAGGGGGAGGTGTTTATACACCAAAAGCAACATATTACATTGATGGAAATGTTGGGGGTCCAGCAATTATAATTAGTCAAGGAGGTTAAAAAATAAAAATTAAAATATATATGTATTTATATTTTTAAGAATCAAAAATAGCTACTCCTGTTTTTCTTTTTGCACCCGATCCTTACGGAGAGGAATATTTACGACGTCGACGTGCACTTTCCTTCCTTTCTTGCACTTTGATATTATTACCACTCTTCACTTTACTTTTGATAATTTTGTCTTGGGGTTCTTATTATTATTAGAAGAGAAAAGATGATATCCGATATGTGTGGAGGTTTTCTTAAAATATTTTATTTAAAAATAATTTTTTGCAGAAGAGATTTTATAATTGAAGTGTGGAGCGAATTTAAAAATGATATCCGATTTTTGGATTTTTAAAGTAACTAAAGCTATTAATTTTTACATTTTTAGATATTTTTTACTATTAAACACCTTTATTTAAATGAATTGTATATTTCAACTTATCTAAATTATAAAATTTTATTAAATCTGAACTGCCATCATTGTAACCCTCAACTCATTTAGTTCATAATTTTGTGGATTAAAAAGTAAAAAAGCACAATCCTTTCCAATCACCCAAAAACATCATTTACAAAAATACGCCTTTTCATAAACTAAAAATTTTCTAAAATAATACATGCTCACATAAGGCTTAAAAAAGTGAAAATAATGAGAAATCACAATGAGGAGAATCTTTCATTTTTTGTTATTTCTATACGTCCACATCTTGGGCATTCAACAGTTATCATTTCTTGTTCATCTTCTCCTTCAAAATCTTTTTCTTCTTCATTTATTAGTATTCTTCTAATTTTTCTTCTTTTACTTAATTTTCTTAAACATTTTGGTTGAGAATTCTTTTGTGCAGCTAAAATCCATAAAAAACGGAGAGGTTGAAAATAAAAACGATTATCAGTAATTGAATGTGGAAATAATGGAAATAATGAGAGAACGAGTGCTGCTATAGACAAATTAGAATCTGATAGACGATACCTTAAAAATAAATACATTTTTATTTAAGAAAATATTTTTTTTCTTTTTTTTACCTTCCATAACCAAAATATAATAATCCTAGAGCCATATTTGTACTAACATGTAAACTATGAACAGAACTATCTTTTGGAGGAATACAATTTGCCGAAGTTTTGTTTTTTATATTTGTATCTTCAAATGATGGAAGAATATTTCTAATTTTGCGTAAAATTCTCGTAGTTTGCAAATCACCACTCCCTGCCATTAACTTGAATAAAAAATTAAAAATTTTTTAAATAAAAAATCCTACTAATCCCATGGCAAGTGCACAAACATTTGTGCATGTTCGAAGACAATTTCGACCCGCTCGTAAGGCAAATCCTGCCCAGCTGAGTTCATCTACTTTCTTTCGATTAAGGTCGGTTGATGAAATTCGCTCGTATAATTGATGCTAAGGAAATTTTAGAAATAATTTAATTTTTAAACATAATAAAATTCACAATTAAAGAAAGAGCGTCCTTCTGACAACTAGAAGCAAATCGGAGTGATAAAGCCAATAAAGCTCCAGCAGTACAATAAAAATGGACCTAAAATGGAAATAATATTATTAGAAAAATTTTCCCGTACTTTAGATATTGTCTCAACATCGATAAATTCCTCCCACCAAATATCTTTAAGTGTTTGTGCCTCGACAAAATGTTGCGAATATCTTCGTACAATTTCAGGAATCTGCTTTTCAGTCCATTGCTTTGTTGCCTGAATATCATCAAATTTGACTAGACAACGGCAAAATGTGCGTATCATAAGCATGTCAGGACTAAAAAAATTTGTTTAAAGATTCTGTGTTTTTCGTAAACTTTATGTTGGTGAAATTGTTTTTAATTTTTTATAGAATTTCTGGAACACTCAAAATCTTTAGGGTTTTCCATTATACCATTAAAAATTTTAACCAGAAATTTAATTAAATTTACCGAATTTTATCGATTTCATAGAAAGAATCTTTCACAGAAAGTGCTTCGTATATCCATTCATCTCTAGTTCTTAAATACATTAAACCAAGAGCAACTGCCGCCGCCGGAGAAGTTAAATGTATGTTTAATGTTGGCAACTCACGCACATGATTAGACATTGGCTGACCTATTCCAGAATAATCACGTGAGGAACTTGAATTTTGATGTTGTTGTTGAGCAGTAGCGGTGTTTGTTGAAGAACCACCGGCATTATTCCCTGTAGCATTAACTTAAAATTTAAAATGACGTCATAACGACAGATTCCTATTTAATTGCAAGGAAAACTTGATGTAAACTTGCATAGAAGCAAAGGATACAATTTTATATAGATCAATATTAATTATACACATACCAGCACCTAAACCATCCATGGCACTTCCTCCAGGAGTATATCTCCTCAGTGAATAAATTAAATTAGACCCTCCACCACCGCTACTCGCAAAATTTCCAATACGCATTCCTGGACATTCAACACGATCATAACTTAAATAAGCCAAGCGACGTTCACCACCATTGAGAAGCTTGATGAGACGTTCTTTCAGTGAAGGCGTTGATGAAATTGGAATTTCAGTATCAGTAATCTCCTTTCCTTTACCTGAAGCATAATTTATATATGAAAAAATTAAAAATAAATAACCTAAATTAATTAATCCAATAGCCATGCCTGCAGTTAAAACAAAAGAATACCGCTCAAAAGCCTGATCACTCTCACACGGAACTTCAAGAGAGATTTGATTTAAAAGTCTAAATAAAATAAAATTTTCAAATGTCTGATAAATTAATATCCCCAAATAGTTCTACAAATAATAATTTTAAAATTTATACTGGCTAGAAATATTGTGATTTGCTGTTTCCGCAAAGAGCAATCCCAATGAAACTATGGCTGCTGATTGAATGCTTAATTCGATTTTGAATTCAACTAATGTTGGTTGTAATAAAAAAGGTAAATGAGCTGATATCATCTTATAAACCTTAAAATAAAAATATAACTATATTCTATTAAAAATTTAAAAAAACTAACATGGACTTCGCTAGTCCCCCGATGAGCTGCGGCACAACCAATCAACAATGCAATAATCAAATATTTATCATTTTGAGTAAGTAAAGCATGAATGTCATAAAGATTCATCGAATCCTTAATACAACCAGATAATCCAGCAGCTAAAAGAAGACCAGCTCTTATTGTTGTCAAAAGATCAGAATTTGCTTCTTCTTTAATCATTGAAGAAAAAATACGCGATGGAAAACCACCACAATATGAAAAACCATGCGCTAAACCATTGTAAAAATTTGCCCAATCCATTGCCAATTTATGAGACTAAATGAGAAATTAGAAGAACAAAGTATTTAATGGTTATCCCTTCCCCTCATATTAATGGATTGTCCCATAAAAATAATTACCGGATTTGTATCATTCAAAGGAAAATCAACTTGATGCCAACCAGGATGCACACGACCATTCAAACAAATTGGACGTGCACCCATTTGTGAAACCGATGAATTTATAAAATTGTTCTTCTTTATATTTTCATTCTTTTGTTTTGAATTATTTTCTATAAATGATTCGTCATCTTTAAATGCATGACGAGTGTGAAAGTTAAGTGCAGCTTTTCCAAAGGGACGAGCAACCGTTCTAATCGCAACACTCAAAAGGAATTGTTCGTGCTGTTCACGTTGTTGCACTTCACTAGAAGCTTGCTTAAAGATTAAATTTATTTTATAACAATAGAGTTAAAAACAGACTCCCAATTCCTTGCTCGGAATTAGAATGGGTTGAGAGGAATCGAGCATTTGTTGAACATTATATACACGGAGATCACTCGTCCAAATTGGAGCAGAAATCCATTTGTGAGCCTCCTTGATCATCTTCTCAGTCAACCGAAAAAATTAAAGAAATAAACAAAATAAACAATTCCAAATATATTTACTTATTTCTGTCATTAAAAGAAAAATTAGTAACACGAGGACGATTTGAATCTCTAATCAATCGACGAATTCGTTCCATGAGCCGTTCATTCATAAATTTGATTCCTTTTAAATTATTCATAAGAGATGCCGCATTAGTAGCGATTTGGCGATCGGCATTAAGCATTAGCCAATACTGATAAATTAAATAAACAATAAATTTATTTTAGACTACCTGGTCATTATTCAACATATCCTCAATACTTTGGGTATTTTGTCGTGTTCTTTTAGTTTCTCTCTCTCCACCGTCATCTTCATTTGATCGAATTCTCGCCAACTTTAAAAAATGAAATATAAAATTGTATATTCCACCCACCAATTTTTGGAAAGGCATATCTTTTTGTTCATAAGAAAAATCTTCAAAAATATGTTCAAAAAGTAAAGCCAACTCAATACATTCAATTGGCAATTCATCAACAAAAGGGATTTTTTGAGCCTCATTAGTTATTTTCCATGGGTTGGAACAAAAAAGGCGTGAAAGAAATTGAAGTTGGCGTGCAATTCCAATCCAGCTACATATCGTCATAAGACAACGGTTCGCAAGCTTAGTATTAAAACCAAGTTGGAACTTGAAAGAAAAGAGTGTGAATGAAGCGTTTCTGAAAGCATCGCTCCCAGGAGATTGATGCATATGAGAATTATCATGCTCGACAAAAACCTGAAATTCATATATCTAAATTTTGGATATGAAATACAATTTTTACCCTTAACGCATACTGATTGTATCCATTTGCACAGAGTCCACCAGGCAACAATCTTAACAGGTTACTAGAAGCATTGTTAGCGATGGTACGTGGAATTCCAAAGTTCAATGCGATATTGGCAATTTTTGTGCAACCAGTATATAATGCAATTGAAAAAGCAGTAGGAGAATCAGTGAATGAAAAATTTACGAGCACCATGAAAAACGGAGCATGCTAAAATAATTATAAATTGAATGTTCAACTCTCGAAAGATAGATGACATTTAATAAGGCTTTACAAAATCGGTTAACTGAATTGAACAATGCTGGACCAAACTGATACTAAACTAATTAATACTAGTGAAACCGGGTAAGAGAAGCAAACCAAAAAGATAAGACTCTCAAAGCACATAGGAATTTTCAAAATTAGAATTATCTTAGAGATTGTTTTGATTAATTTATCTTACCAAAAATGGGACAGCTGAATCACCTCGAATAAAACTTGATGGACTACCATTTTCTGTAATTATTGGATCTGGTACCAATAGTGAAGAGGAGTCTTCCAATGCTTTAGGAAAGTGAATGTTCAACACTATAACACGACGATCGCTTGCAATATGAAAAACAATACAACGTTCAGAACGCGAAAGTGCCTGTCGACTGATGAAAAAAGTTGAAGCCATTCGATTCGCTTAAAATTAAAAATGTAAAACCCAAACATAAATTTGAAAAATTCAGAAATAGTTTAAAAGAAATTTTTAAAGGCAAAAAGAAATTTTTAAAGGCAACCATTATTTATTTTATTTGCAACTTCATCGGATTGTGAGCTTGTTGAAGATGATACTCTCAACGTCTCTAATTTTTGAGCAACTTTCTCTGTGCCAATTGAAGATGCTGAACCACTCCGGTTAGCAACAGCATCGTCAATCTATTTATTTTTCAATTAGTTAGAATTGCAGATTTAAACAAAATACCGGTGGCGGAAGCGGTTCTGACCAGAGCCAATCTAAGCAAAATTCTACTGCCATATTCAACGATGATGGCGGTTCAGCGTCAGTTTCGCGACCACCAAAACTCAATAAATCATCCATATCAACAGCAGAAAATGAATGAGCATGTCTTGGAGTTGAATTATTAATATAAGCATTTGAAGCAACATTGTTTCCAGTTGTTATTGAAAACTTTTGTTTAAGACGCATTCGATTCAATGCTGCATTATGTTCAAGAGATCTAAAAGTGAAATAAATATAAAAACATCAAAAAACTTTATACCTATGAAAAGATACTGATTTATCAGCCGCTGAAGATGGTAACGATGAGAGCGCTCCCATACCGAAATTAGGGTTGGAGAATTCACCTGAAGCTGCTGCTGCAGCCATTGAGCGAGTTATACGTCTTGAAATGGGCGTCTGAATTTAACAAATATAAACAATTTTTTATTGTTCGATTATAATAGTTAAAATATTAGATTAAAAGCATCTAAACTCTATATTATAGCCCTTTTCCAATGTGAAATATTTCAAAAAATAATATAAAACACACCAATCTCCATTGAAAAAATAATTTGCAAACCTTAGAAGGGGCAGCGCTCGGAATAGACGAAGTTAAGGAAGCTGTTTGAGATGCAGCATGTAAGTGTGAAGATCCATTACTGTTAGCGAACAAAACAGAATTAAAACAATTAGCAGGTGAATGATGTAAATGAGTATCAATATTATTCTTTTGAGGATTTAAAAGGCCAATTGATGCAAGGCGATCCTCTAAAATTAATTTTAATATTTAAAAATAAATAAAAATTTTAATTTTACCAGCAAATCTTCGATTAAAAAAATTGGGTGAATAAAATGACCGAACTGTGCTCGGCGTATGCATAAGAGCTGACGAATTCAAAACACCCAAATCATTCTTTGCTGCTAATCTTTCCTCTTTAGTACATTTACGTATTAAAAATAAATTATTTCTGCGTTCATCAATATCGTAGCACATTAACAAATCGACGGGACCGAAAAACGAAGAACACCAGTTTGCGGCAATTTCTTTAGGAATAACAGCCATTCTTTTGCCGCGAAATGTATAGTGGCAATCAGAATCACCTGAATATATAAAAATTGAGAAATTTGAAAGAAAATTCTACCTTTAAATTTGCAAAGAATCGGCATTATTTCATTGTAAGGATGAGTCAGAGAAAAAAGTTGGGCAGCTCCTGGGAGACTAAAGAAAAATATTGATATTTTTAAAAGAAATATTTATATACTTTCCGTGTTCTCCAGGAAATGAGCTTCTCTCAAGAATAATCCCAAAACTGCAGGGATGTGCACGACAAATCTGTGAATAAAAATTAAAGAAAAAATATATAAAAAAAACCTTAAAAGGCAATGAAATAGGACAGCATGTCCTACAATTAGCGTCTTGTGAATAAAAATCTATTTGATCATTTCCAATCAAACAAAGATAATCCTCCGGCGTTTTCGGAGTAAAAGTTACAAAAAATGCCTAAAAATTTTTAAATAATTTTTTCGAAAATCTTACATTTAAAATATCAAATTCAGTTTTATATCGATTTTCAATTTCATTTCCGGTCCCATTAAATACTGCCGCTTCTCTTCCAAGAGCTTCTACTCTTTTAATTAACCCACCATTTTTCACAAAATGATTAACAATAACAGAAACATCCTTAAAAATTTTAAAAATAAAAAAAAAATTTAATTAAGAAAAACCTTAAATTCAGGAACGCTTTGCTCACTTTGTTGTGGAACAATCATTTCTACATCCAAATCAATGGACATTCATTTAATAAAAATCTAAAATTAAATTAAATTTTGAAAATATTCGAATTATATTTATGTAATGCTTTATAAAAAATAATGAAAAAATAATAAACATGAAAATAAAAAACATAAAAAATTAAATTATTTAATCTTCAAAGGAGAAGCCTTATGAATTTTTGGGGTACAGCCCAAGTAGGCGCGCGGCCAAATAGGCGCAAAGCCATAACTTGCTTCAAGTTTTATGAATCTTTTCAGCTTTAGTATTAAACGATTCCTCTCATCGAGCTAAAGAGATTGGTACCAAAATTGTTGAGGTCCAGAAATTTTCCAGCTAGTTATGGCTTTGCGCCTACATAGCCGTGCGCCTACTTGGGCGTGTCCCGAATTTTTGTTTAAAAATTAAAAAACATTATGCCAAGAAAAATTTCGAATAAAAGAAAAAATTTAAATTTGTCAAATTTCGAGTTTTGCGATATCTTGTTAGATTTGTCATGTGGTTTCACCCAAAAAATCAACGTTTATCAAAAAATTTATTTATTTTAAATTTAGTTAAAATGGAATCTTCTGCCGAAACATCTGAAAGTGAAGTACAAATTGACAAATTGCCAGCAAAGAAAATAGTTGATAACACTTTTTTATTTTTTAATCAAAAATTTAAACAAATTTTAGCGAAAACTTCGTCCACCTCCTCCACCTTTACGTACAAGATTGAAAGAAGACGGAAAACTTGACGACGAAAATCTTGGTGATATTAGTAGAGATTATAGTCAGGAAGAACTTGCAAATATGCGGTAAACCCTTGTTTTTATTCCAAAATTAAGTTTTTAAAAATTTTAAGTGCCGAATCGGAGAGATTGTCACTTCTTGTAGATGAAAGTTATTTTTTGGTAATTAATTTTTTTGTATAAAATATTTGAGATTTTTGTAATAAAAGATGTAAAAATTTAACAGTATAAGACTTCCAACCCAATTGCTTTTTCTTCCTTTAGGCAATTTCCAGACCTTAAACATATTTTCATAAATACAAAATTTTTGAAAAAAAACTTTGGTTTTAATTTTAATTATTTAGACAAAGCCTTTTGGTGCCCGCTTCTTACGGCCATACAAACAAAAGCAAAAGAAGAATGAATAATTTTTAGATATCATAAAATTATAATAAATATCAATTTATATGTTTAAATCAATAATTTTTTGAAAATATATTTTTTAATTACTTTTATTTTATTTATTTGAGTAATATTTTTAACCAAAAATTATTAATTTTCTAGTTAATATTTTGGTTCAGACAATTTTTGAATCATAAAGCATTAGAAAGAGCCCTTTAAAATGGGTAGAATGATATTATGATAGGTAAATTTGGTGATTATAAGCAGAATTATGTAGCTAAAGAACTTTGTTAATTTAAGTTAGATTTAGTTTATTTTAGTGATATTCAACTCATGTCAGCTCAACGAGCTTTTTCGAATGTAAATATTTAAAATATATGCCCAATCTCTCTTATATTTCCATTATTTACATCAAACTTTCATTTTTTATAATTCAAAATAATATCAAAAATTTTAAAAAATATATATTTTTTACATTTTCGCAACATATTTTTGCTTGTTTTCGTTTGTTAGGCCAATTAATAATAAAAGTAAATACTCAACACTTTTTTCTTTTACAGGTAGAATTACCCCCTCAACACAATATATTTATAAAAAAAAAAGAGAGAAAGAGCTCCTTCAAAATTCGTTCATCCGCACATTTGTGTGTGTGTAAATAAATACAATATGTAATGTAAATATAAAATAAAATTCACAATTCTTCGGCCTCTATAAAATTACTGCGTGAATGCACACTTTCCTCTCCCTTTTTCTTAAATTTTTTTTTCTTTTCACCAATTTTAGGAACAACATATTGAGAGAATTACTTGGTAGTAATTCGCGCACAAATGCACTTTTCACTTAAAAATATTTTTTCTTTTAATACACTGCTGCTCTAAAAAGTATTAGACAGCAACACCTTTTTAATTGACATTTTGTTGCATAAATAAAAAAATATTTTAATTCGAGGTTAAGAAAATATTTTTTTTTAATATTTATAAAGTTCTATTTAGAAATTTAATAAATGGGGGATGGGATTTTAAGAGAAATACAGTGAAAGAAATTAAAATTTAGAAAGCTCATAGGCCGTAAATGCTCTAATGGAAGCACAGTCTTAATAGAAGCACACCCTACGAGAGGATCGAAAAATTCAGAAGCACACATACTTCAATTAGAGCATATGTAGCACTTGACTGGCCTTAATTCTGATAATCTCTTCTGAAAAAATTTTTTATTTGGATAACCAACTTATTTATTTCACATTGTTAATTTAAAAAATTAAAAAAAATATTATTAAAAATATAATTTTTTTGTCATTTTTCTTTTTATATAATTGGTCTTCAATTTCTAAAATAATTATTTATTCTCATATTTTTAAACATAATTTGTTCATACAAAAATTACTTTTTTGTTAAAATTTTGTATTGTTATTTTTAACAATTAAAATAATTCTCCCTACTTTTTTTTAAATAATAACAATTATTCTAACGGTCAGTCAACCAAAATAATTTCAAAATAACAATAAAACTAATAAATATATAATTGTATGTATGTACAGTAAATAAGGATTTATTTATTAATTTTTGGATATTATTAATTGTTAAAGTTGATAATTTTAAAAATATACCTATTTATAAAGTCAGAATTAAGTTCATATAATTTTTAAATTAATCTGTTTTTAAATTTTAATGTTGAAAATAAATTATTTAAATTTATATTTAAATTAGAAAAAGAAAAAATTTCGATTTTACAAATTTATTTTCTAGTTTTTTTTATCAAAAAAACTCTATCGACCCTCAAATAAATGTTGAGAATACTTCTGTCAGTTCTTCATGACTATCTTTTTATCCAGAAAATTACTGTTAATTAAAATGTTTTTTGGAAAGTGTTTTAAAATGACTAATAACAATTTATTATTTCTACCATATACTTTATCTAATTTTAGAAATTGACAATTTTAATTTAAAATTATTTATTTTTGGTAAAATTGTTCCCTAAATAATTTATTTATTCTTTCTTTTTTTGATTAATTTTTCCTTTTTAGATATTAAAAATATAAATTCCTTTTTCACATGCCATATATCTAAAATTAACCACCATACATAGAAGACCATTAAAAACTACCCAAATCCATCCATGCATTTATTTATTTTTTTTTTGTTTTAGTCGAACACTTTCGAACACTTTTTCTCTCTTTTTTTTCATCCTCTTTCTCCTCTCAACCATTTTTTTGTCATTTTTCGCTTGAATGGCATTATGCCAAATCCTCCTCTTTCTCTCTGTATTCACATGTCTTTCTTTTTCAAAAATTTTTGCCATTCCCGCAATCCCTCGGGATTCATTCTTTGCTCTCTGAACGGTTGGAAAAATATTAAACAAAAAAAAGAATACATAAAAGTGTTTTGGTTGGATATTTTTAACTAAAATCTGCTAACAGCAAAATACAAACGAGACAAAAGGATATTAAGAGACAAATATTAAATTGGCTAAAAATAGATAAAAAAGAAAAAATTTTTAAGTGGTCTTTTTTTTCAATAAATATTTAATTTATTTAAAATCTCAATAAATACACAATCCCTAATTTAGGTATTGTATTTTTTGTTAAATATAAAAGAATTAATAATTAATTATTTGGTTTTCAAATTAATAAAATAAACAGAAAAATTTATTGGGTCTAATTGGGGCCAAACTTTTTAATTTTTTTTTAATTTTCTGGGTTTTTATTTTGAAGGATATTTTTATTTATTTGGCTTATTGCCAAATAAATATATTTTGTTTACAATAACTAAATTTGGCTTTCTTTATTTTAATACCAAATAAACAAAGCCATTATTTTATTTTGCACAAAAAATTTTTTTATTAGAAATTTAAAGAAAAAAGTATCAGAGTCAAAAAAAATTTTATTTAATTTATTTATTTTAAAATAAATTTTTAAACTACAAGAAATGTTGCTAAATAACAGATAAAAATTTTTAATTAAATTTTGACAATCTACAAAATATTCAAAATAAATTATAACAATTAAATTTATGCCAGATATTGTTTTTTATCTGTTTTTTAAATTATTTTCAATAATAAAAGAAATTTTTAGATAAATATTGACAAGAAAATAAGGGGATTTTAAATAAAATATTGACAAAAAATTAAATACATTTATTATATTTTAAAACAAAAATTATAAAAATGAGTATTTCTCCATATTTGCCATGAAAATATGTACTAAAATATACTATGTATATCTGTTAAGTTTTGAATTATATTAAAACTTTATAATTTTATTAATAATAAAAAAAAACAATTAAAAATAAATAAAAAAATTTTTTATTTATTACTTTTCTTTAGACATTTTTATTTTTTAAATTTGATTCTCTAAAAACATTTTATATTGGCTACATAATTATTATATTTTTTATTTTATTTTTAATCAAAACGGCTTCCTTATTTTTATTTTTAATTTAAAATTTATTTTTTTATCAATTAAAAATTGGCGCAGTCACAGCATCGAGAATTGCCACATTAATTTTTTTTATTAAAAAAAGTTTTTACTTTTTAAATTGTTTATTTATTTCTTCTTTTATTTTTTATTTTTTACTTTTTTATTAGCTTTTTAAAAATTTTTTATTGGCACTTTTAATGCTTAAAAACTTTTTATTTTATTTTAAATATTTATTAGAGATTGGGCAAGAAAGAAAATAAATCATTCCGCTCCATTTAATATTTTTCAATTTTCCTCAAAAACTGGAAATTACTAAAAAAGAGAGAGAATTTAAATATAGACCCCTAATTATTTAAAAAAAGTTTTGTTTTTGTTAAAATTTTATTAATTTATAAATAAATCTTATAACTTAATAAATTTAATACTGAAACTTAAAACTTAACTATAAATATAAACTAATTATCACAATTGTTTTTCGTTAAAATATTCAAAAATTATTTTTATTCTATATATTTTTTGGACAATTTTTATTTAAAACTTTCATTTCAATCAAAATAAATATATTCCCCCCTTTTTTCTAAAAACATTTTTTCAAACTTTTCATGTTTCATTTCAATTTATCTTTCTCAAAACAAACTTTTAAAGAAGTACATTTATAAAGCTAATACATCACACAGTTGTCATTAGGGGGGGGGGGATAGTCCGTCACACTTTTTTCTTAATTTTTTCTTTTAAACAGAAAAAAGGAGGTTAGTAAGTAGTAGAAGAAGAATATTGGATAATGTTGCCAGTCAGAGGAAATTAAAAAGAGAGGGAAAAGAGGGAATATCTCTACTAAATATTTTATATATTAATCTACTAAATACTTGAAGATTTACTTAACATTTTTGTGTTAAGTTGAAAAATTTAAAAATAAATTACCGACTTTTTTAAAAGTAAATTTTTAAAAACACATTGTTCAATATTATATCCACATTCAAAGTCTAAATTTCAATTAACTCTAAAAATCTTTCTCAACTTTTTTTGTTTAATTATTTCAATTATTCCTTCCAATTATCTTTATTTTTTTCTTAAAATTTTTAATTAAAAAAACTTGATTTGGCAATCTACTTTATATAAAATAATTACTTAATTCACTTAATAATCGCAATTTCTTCTCCACACAATTTTCAATTAAACATTCACATAATTTATTTATCCAAAGTTGGAATGTCAATTAAGCAAATGAGCCGAAAAATAATAAAAGAAAAATAAAGTATAAAATGGATGACGAAAATTTCAAGTAAAAAGGAGTATAGAATTTTTAATTAAAAAATAGTATTTATGGATAAAATTCTAGTCTGAATTTAAAAAATAATTTTTGGATACCTCCAAGAATGGCAAATATATATTTGCTACTTCTCTTTCAATGTAAAAATTTAAATAAAAATTATTTTTCTTTTCTTCAAGGCCAATAAACATAAAAATAATATTTAAAAATATATAAATTTTTTATATCGACCACTAACTAATAGCTTTTCTCAATACTTTTTTTAATACTCTATTATTCATCCATGCGTGATATCAACCTCCATTAAGCACTTATTATTAAATATTTATTGAACATTCTTT